GGGACTAATTTAAAGGAACATCTTAAAAAAAAAAGGTTATGCGCCGTTGCCGGGGATCGAACCCGGGTCACCCGCGTGACAGGCGGGAATACTTACCACTATACTACAACGACTTTGTTGTTCGATTGTTGTATTTTAAGTATTATAACTGAAATTAAATTATTTTTTTCTTATATTTAAAGTGTGTGAAAGAGTTTGTTAATGGCGATTCCGGTACGTTTCTTTTGGTCAACTTGAATCAGGAAGCATAATTTATGAATGAAGGCGAAACATGAAGAACTCAAGTGCTTGCACCAACTCAACACACATCATGTGTGCAATAACAAATTAACAATAACTGTCCACAATCACACACCAAACCGATTGATTTCGACCTTAAATACTAAACATAACCACCACTTTCTCTCAAACAAAGAAGAAGAAAGAAATGGCTTCTTCTACTCTCTTTATCACTCTCTTAATCTCCTTGTCTTTTTTCTTTCTCCAACTGGTTCTTGCTCAAGTCCCAGGAACCACAGCTACATGTGCCTCTAGGCTTCTTTCCTTGGCTCCATGTGGTCCATTCGTGCAAGGCTTTGTCCAGCTTCCGGCTCAGACATGCTGCGACGGCTTAAACCAAATCTATAGCCAAGAACCAACCTGTCTTTGTCTTTTCCTCAACAATACTTCTACTTTGTCCCCTGCTTTTCCAATCAATCAAACTCTTGCTCTACAATTGCCTCCCCTTTGCAACATTCCAGCTAATTCATCCTCTTGCTCCTCCTCCCCTGGTACGTTAATTTCTTCACACGATTATGAAAAAACTCGGTTTGCTAGATTCAATTGTTTTCCTGAAATTTATGAGAAACATTTTTGGTTTATAGGAGGAGAGGCACCTAGTGTTTCTTCCTCAGTTGCTCCACCACCTTCTAGCTCAACCGGTTCTCAAGTCTCTCGAGGTGCAAAGAACAAATCTCGCGTTGCGGGTAAGCCACTTTCCCAAAGGTTTTCAGTATCAGTTAAAATGTCACTGATTTCGTTTTACTTTATCAGCAACTCCAGTGGCTCAAATGTCACCAAGACCCACCAGCTTTATGGGATTAGGTTATGGTCCAAAGTCCTCCAGCTCCAAGTCAGAGATTCAGCTAATCATCCTCGCACTTGCAGCGATCTTACCCATCACTCTTCTCATAATCTGAGTCTGTCTGCATTTAACTACCATCTCTGTTTTAGTTTACATTCTCCTGTCTTTGCTTTTTTCTCTATGAATCAAGAACCAATTTCACTAGTTTAATTAGTACGTCTCCCAAAACCAAGTTTGCATTTCATGAAATGAAATCTGAAAACAAGAACAATGAAAAAACAATGATCTTTTTTTTCATAATCGGCTTTAACTTTGATTCTGTAACATTATGAACACAACAAGCAAAAGATTCAGTCTTTTTCTTCTTCTTCATCTCTAAAACATTGAACTGAAACTATTACTCCAAACTAGGAGCCACTTCTGTTGGGTTAGACTCGAACACATCTTCAGAGTTTGAACTCTCTGCTTCATCAAGAAGATCACGAGACTGAATCGCTTCTTTATAAACCGGCGTCTCCTTGAAATCCGTCGCACCTTCGTTATAAGTCCCCGCCGCAATTCCACCGGAGACTAACTGTTACAACATCAAAACCCAAATCAAACAAAACTTCAAAATTTTAGGGATTTTTTTTAGAGAGTTTCGATCGAATTGAAACATTACCGCGAAAAGGATTCCAAAAGCCCACAAGTATTGAACAAAGAACCCTAAACCATCCCATTGAGGACCTTCAAAAGGATCAGGTTCAAGCCCAGGAAGATCCTTAATAAAGAACTTGGGTGCGTCTTTAGGATCACCTCTGAATCGGGTGTTCACCGCAAACCTATCTTCTCCGTCGTCGATTTCGATCTGAGACGGCGGTTTCTCGCCGTCGTAGGCGCCGTTGTTTTCTTCTTCCGGTTGTTCCTTCGTCGTCGTCGGGACGAGGGTCCGACGTTTTTTGCTGTCGAACCGGCCGGTTTGGGAAGAGGGTTTTTTGGCGGCAGAGACGATGTGAAGACCGGTTCGTGATGGATAAGGGAGGTTTACGAGTCTGGTGGTGGAGAAAGGAATACGAGAAGAATCGGTGAGGTCGATGCAGCGGATTGTAGCTCCTCCGCCACCGCTGCTCACGGTGAGAGCCATTTTCTTGTTTTTGGGTGTGTGGATATGTGAGAAAGAGAGGGAAGCGAATCGAAAGAAGATAAGGAAACTGACATTTTTTATTCTTTCCGGGTCATACTAAACTTGACCCGATTCTAATTGATCCGATTCAAATTGACCCGGATTGGATAATCAAAAAATGAAATATTAGAAAACAGTTGAATAGCAAAAAAGTTTACAATTTAGTATATGAATGGATTTTTTACTAATCTAGCTACGATTTAAAGCATGCAGAATAAATTGAAAAATAACTTTGTTAATTTGTATACGTTTTATCATTCCCTACAATTTACTATGAATGGTATGTATCCATCCATACATACTATAAAAACTCGTACCAAATTACAATTTGGTGATTCTTCTTCTCCCGTGGAAATGATTTCTTGTAGAATGCGCAAGCTCGAGAATGGCAATCAGAGTCAGTTTCTCTGGCCGTGTGAAGAAACTTTCGTGTCGCGCGTTTGTAAAATGGTCATGCGAAACGGTTCCT